AGGCGGCGCCATGTTTGGCGGGCTCGAAGTAATTACGGGGACCGATAACGGAACGGAGGTGCGCGCGAACGTGTGTTCATGACGAACGTTATCGCCAGACATAATATAACTAAATGTTAAAATGGTGAAAAGCTTGAATATATAATACCAGGCTATTAATATATTGTTACAATGACATTTGAAAAATATTAAAAATCCATAGTCAACATTTTCTTTTTATAAACATTTAGTGTTCATATTATGTTGACAAAACACGTAAAAATCACTAACATTGCCAAATTATCCAAGTAAAATTAAATTTTTATGACCGATTGAAGTTCATATTCTTACAACAAATCGCTTAAAATCAGTTTTCTTATGCAATGATATTATATCATTGAATTCCAATTTAACACCATCCATTACAGTGACCCACTTGTTACTTACTGTACAGCAGAGTGACACGCAGTTTCCCTCTTTTTTTTTAGTTTGATTTCGGTTTTGATGTTGATTTTGGTTTTAAATTGTACTTATCTATATTCGAAACGAGTGAAAAAGCCCTGGTATTTATGGTTCCACGTCATTTGATCCGGTAAATAATATCCGGCGACAAATAATCCGCGACATTTGGTCCGGTGAAAAAATATCCTGTATCAAAAATATCCGGTTAGGTTCTATCTAGTTGAAAATTGTCCATTTTCCGCACTTTTCTTTATTTCATTAACTAGTCCCTTAGCCTCCGATTTTGCTACATTTGGAGCATGTGAATGATCAGTGTGTTTAAGAATCTCGCCTATGAATAAAGTGAATAAACAAATAGTTTAGAGAAAATATAAGAAAATAGTCAAAATATCGAAAAAATTTCAAACAAATCTCAACTTTTTTTTTCCGACATTAAAAAAAAATTATATTCAATAAAAATTTCAAGCAAATTGCAGCAGTTTTAATACCTTAATTTTTGATTTAAATTACCTGATTCATCTTCTGAAGTAGTGTGACATCGGCTTTTGCATGCAAATTTTTTATAATCAGAGCAACGCCATACAATTTTATTTTCGTACACTTCATGCTTGCTGTACAGGAAACCGTTATACACCAACATGTTTTTGCCTTTTGGCTTTTAATAAATTTTGGTGGCATAATTCAAACTTATAAAAACTACGTGCAAAGAAATTTGTATCGTGTGGAGCCACAATAAACACTAAGAAAAATGCCAGTATACTGTACAAAATTATGAGGACTATTATCGAATAGACGTATAAAGATTACAGAACACACACTAAATATGATAAGATTGTTCGCATACATAAACTATAATTGACCGAGCGAAGTACAGATAAGATTGATCGGTATTTTGTCTGTCTGTACTATTCTTATAATCTAAGACTTGACGATATCATACTAATTTTATTTTAAACAATCTTTATTTTAACTTATTTTAAACAAACTCACTTTTTGTAGTACAAAACATTTATTTAAGTAACTATTTTAAACAAATTTGTTAATAATGAAAAATTATCAGACATTTTTGACCCGGATGTTTTTGATACAGGATATTTTTTCACCGGACCAAATGTCGCGGATCATTTGTCGGCGGATATTATTTACCGGATCAAATGACGGGTCACCGGTATTTATAGAAAATAATATATTATCGTATTTATAGTCGGTAAAATAAATAAACCTACTAATCGTAGGTGTCGCTCTGCTGTACAATAGGTTACATACCTTGGGTAACTTTAATTTATGGTGTTAAATTTGAATTCAATGCGATATAATATCAGTGTGTATGAAAATCGATTCTTAACAAAGACGCCCACTGTGCAATGGAAGTTACATAACATTGATGCTATGTTGAATTTAGGTTTTAAAAAAAAATTCCCAATTAACATCAGCCTCTGATATTTTATATTATATATAGTTGAATACAGCATATTGTAAGATATTTTTAAACTGAATTTTATATGACAATAAACCGGAAAACTTTTGGACTTGGTGTGTTTTGCATGAACGGGGACGATATATTGTTATAACTAATAGGGTAGCCGCTAAGTATTGAATAAATATTATCATATTTAAATAATTGTATGTATATAATAATAAACTTGAGAATTTTCAAGAGTATCCATTAATAATATTATAAAATTACAACAAATTAACTAAAATAGTTATTCTTGGTTATTTGAAAATATGTAATTTCGTCAAAATTTGAACACAAAATAGCTTTAAAAAAAAATTGTGTTTTTATATAATATGTTAGCTTTTTTTGTTAAAGACTAACCTGCTTACGTGGCACATTGTTTCAAATTTTTTCTTGGCTATAAAAGGGCTACTTAAATGTTTATAATTTATCTAATTTTTATAGTTGAAGATTGAGAATTTAAATCAAGGTTTCTCATAAGTATTTAATTATTACTTTAATCAAAAATCTAAACAAATATCTTTTTTATAGGAATTTTAAAACATTTTGGATAAAATCTAAAGTTTAAATGAAGAAAAATGATTTTATTTATTTTGTTGTAATTAAAAATTACCTACTATTCGTTGGTACCTAGTTGAAACTTCTAAAGTACCAATATTATTATATTTAATATGCACAATTACATTTTAAAATTAATTTTTTCGGTAAAAATGCATAATCTACAGTAATACTAATGTAAAATAAATTACTTTAATAACAACAGTGTTAAAAATATACTTCTATCTTCTTGATTCACAGAATAATAAGTAGTTCAACTGGCTGAATAACTGTTAATTTGTTGGTCAAAAGTACAAATTTATCAGTAGTTTTCAAAAAAGCCACGAAAAAAAAAAGAAAAATTAAGGAAAACGGGAATTATTACTCAAAATTGGTATTTGGAGTAACTTTAAAAGAAATTACCGTATGTAAATGCAATTTTGACTGAATGTTTATATTAGCATTTTCTATACACAATAATTTTCAAAATAATTTAACTTATTTTGAGCTGTTTACGGACATTTTCAGTTTCCAATTTATTTAGTTTTTTATTTTATAAATATCAATAAAATTTTATTTGTTGGGTAAAAAAGCTTGAAAATTTAATAGAAGGCACTTTTAATGCCTAGTTACATGCATAAAATTATATTATCATTATTATTATATGAAATGTAAATTGTATTACACGTCCAAGCTCTACGTCGGTATATAAGCCAATGATTACGTAAAACTTAACCTTTTATGAGCTAAAGCTTATACAAACATAAAATAACACGTTTACTACTTATTGTGCTATTATTATAATTGTATATTAAAATATTATTAAGGTCTTATAAAACTAGTCTAGTAAGACTTATAAAAAACATAGTATTTATAAGTAAACACTTATTTTATACAAAAAACAATTTGGAACACATAACTAAAAGATGGAGCAATATTAGGTAGTTAAATTACCAGAGATAAAACGATACAAATGATACAATAGTTAGTAAAAGACTATCTTAAGATACTCTTTTCACTGACGATTTCAACTATATTCATCGGACTGGTTGTGCTAGAATATGTGGCAATCCCGCGCCGTACAGGGCTTGGTTAAACGTGTGCTTATAAGATGCGTGAAAACCCTACCAGAAATGTTCTCGAATGTTATACGGTTTTCTTTGTCCGGGTAGCGTCTTCTTAAGTTCAGTAACTTCAATAATCGAACGATTTATAAACATTTTCAACTCGGGAATATCACGTAATCCATTATTGCAGGATTCACAAAATTATTTCAGATTAAGATTTGTTAAAGAAAGTTCTAACCTTATCTGTTTTTTATTCCCTCACTGATAGCCCCGAATATTTAATACGAAATATTAAATTCCTTCCATCAAATTTAATGGGCGTATCCAGTTAAGCGAGTGTAACAGAAAAAATGTAACAATTTTGATCGTTAATTGACATAGGTAGTTGTGATTTAATATTTCATTATAATTAAAAACACTTATAAAAATAACACATAAAGAAAACATTCTACCTCAATGCGTGATTGCAAAATTGCAATATACACATCATTATAATATATTATATTATGATAAAATAATATGCAATGTAATATTTTGTTTTTTTTTACTGATCTTGAGCCCGGCAACTAAGGCCATTAGTTATTTTAGTTTTGTTTGTAGGTTTTTTTTTGGTAGTGGGAAGAACACTTGTGTGTTTGTTTGGCAGAATATATTTTATTCTAGTTTTTGGCTGATTATATTAACTTTTACGCAGTTATGAATATATATTCTATTTAAGGTTGAACAGCGCGAGCGATTAAAAATATAATTTTAATATTTTATGAAACTATACATTATTATGGTGTCCGTTGGCCGTTTAATATAGTGCACCGTGATTTAACAATAAAATTAATTTAATAATAAAATATTTTAAAGCACACTATAAGACTTTAAACCTCTAGTCTTAATTTATAACCATTATTTTTTCAGAAAAGAAGTGAAAATTCAGAAAGTTGCAAGTACTACTGTTTCTATGACTGGAATTCAGCACTTCTCTAACTCAAATTGTGTACACAATAATAGTAAATATGTGAATTATTGAATTATTAAGATAGTTAAGTTAATTTAGTTTTTGCTTTAGGGGGGCAAAAGTAAAAAATTCCTTGTAGTTTGAGAAACAACAAAAGAAAAAAATTAAGAAAAAGGGGGGCAAGTGGGTTACGCTCTGCTGTACAGTAGGTTGCAAGTAGGTCACTGTAATGGATGGTGTTAAATTTAAATTCAATGATACTATAGCATTGTATAAGAAAAACGATTCTAAACGAAGACTGTCAGTTAGCATATAATATTACTAAGTATATAATTTGATATTATTGTGAATAAAGTAATTAATATATAACCTATTAACGTGGAACCTTGTTTTAAATTGTCAATCCTTAGCTATACCAGTTGAATATTTTAAAACATTTTTAACTACAAAATAATAGTTAAATTTTAAATTTGATACATTTTGTCAAAATTCTAACTTTAATTGCTTATAAAAAAAAATCGTGCATAACTATTTTGGATATATTTCAACTACTATAATAACATAATATATCGGTAGCCTTGTATTAAATTTTCACGAACTTTTACCCAACACTTTTTATTGTCAATTTTATAAAAAATTAAAAAAAAAATGAAAACAGAAAATGTCTGTAAACAGTTCAAAAGTAGTCAAAATATTTTCAAATTGTAATACTGTATAGAAAATTAAAATATAAACATTCGTTATTCAGTCAAATTTTCATGTGTCTACAGTAATTTGTTTTTGGAACTTTTTCTTTAATTTTCATAACTTGACTATAAGAGTTAAATTTTTTAAATTTGATAATTTTTTCAAAAATTGAACTTGAATAAATGCTTATAAAAAAAATCGTGACTATGTATTTTTAATATTTTTCAACTATCAGGTTAGGTATAACCTAAAGAACCTATAACCTAAAGAAGTTTGATTTCGGTTTTGGTTTTAAATGGTACTTAGCTGTATTCGAATCGAGTAAAAAGCCCTGGTATTTATAGAAAATAAAATATTATTGTATTTATAAAAATAAAATAATATTGTAGACTAATTATTTGAATTTTTTAAAGAAGAAATCTGGAAGGAGTCAACATTAAAATAATTGTTTGTGAATGGACTATTGTGTCTCTTGGGACATATAACAATTGAATAGCACTATGGCTGATTAAAAAAAGTATAGCAAAAAAAAAATATATTTGAACCTCAATTCTAAGAATGGACTTTTATTACTTATATATACAATAGTGAGTACAATTAATACAAATTTAAAATTTTCATATTCAAATATTCAATAAATAATACCAAACTCATGTTTAATAGTAAATAAAAAAAATAACGTTATTTTTTTTAGTTTAATTTAGTTACCTATATGATCAATGAAAAAAATAATACTCTTTGAATTTTTCATGTACAGCCGGTACAGATACTTAAATCTACTATTTTACTATCTTACCACATTCTTGAAAATTAGTTAGGAAAAAAAAATAAAATGTAATATTTTACTAAATGAAAATTATCATTTAAATGTAGCAATATTATAATAACGTTCTCAAAATGTAAATCCAAAATAATAAATTATGCTTTCTTTAGGCTTTGATATTTGAATCACATGGTATCACACTGGGAACGGAGTTAAATTATGAAGACTGCTCAGCTGCATGGACGTGTACCAAATGTACAATCAAAGATCCATGTGGATGGTCCTTTGCATATCAGAAATGTGTTGACAAGACTCGATTGAACTTGTCAAATTTTACAATCTACAGTGAAGAGAAATGTCCACGATTTTCAGTTGTAACAAAACAAGAATATAAAAATGAACTCATTAGCTTACAATATATTGTTAAGGTATCAAACGATGAAGTAGGTTTCATGAATTATCTTAAAGAAAGTAATTTCTATTGTAATTCAACGACAATAGATGTTCATACACAAATGATAAAAAATGACGAGATTATATGTTCAGCAACAATTTCGAAAATGTACTTTAAGTTGCACAGCGTGCAATCATTTACTGAATTTATTTATATTAAGTTTAAATCTGGCGTCATGCACTTCGATAACGTTGCCGATCACTATGTAACGTTTTATGAACACGAATGTGCCGAGAACAAGAAGGACGAAAACTGTGCGGCTTGCTCGTGGATTGATCATGGCTTCGAATTCGTTAGATTGTGTTCGTCTGGAAACCCCTGTGGAGGTAGCAATGAATTGTACATGTTCCACAATGAAAGGGGAAAATCTTGGAACTATAACACGCGAAGTGTCAAGAATCAATGTGCGGAAATAAACGTGACATCCGTCCATCCACTATCTGGGACGTCGGCCGGTGGCACGAATATAACGATTACAGTAAAGAACCACTTGATATTTGAGGAGAACCGAAAGGTAATGGTGACGGTGGCCGGAATGATTTGTGCGGACCCCAGGACTTCCGGACCCGAGACGATCACTTGCATCACGACACCACCACTCGACGACACATATGTAGCACCATCCGGTCCGGTCTTGGTTAATTACACGTCACATGAAAGCGAGTTGATTGTCGTGTCGTCACAGACATTTCACTATTACGTTGATTTTACCAGCGGCTCATCCCGTCCCGTATTTAGCCTATATTATATTATTATGATAATATTTTCGATTTTTGTGTTTTACACAAAAATGGTGTAGTAAAATAATTTATAATTTTTAATTTACATTAGATACACATGTAATAATTAATATAATTTTGATGACCTGTATACAACATGATATTTATAGGTAAAAAATATTTTATACATAAAACGATTTGTAACACATAACTGTAGGATGGAGAAATATGTTACATTACTAGAGATAAAACGATACAAGTTAATCAATAAACTTTTTAAGATACAATTTTCTCTGACGATTTCAACTATTTATGTCGCTAAATATGTCTTTCATTATTGATCGGCCTAATGCCTCATATTTAGTATCAATGTTGTTAGAATAAAATTGTTTTATCTTGTTGAGGCCAACATTGTTTTTCATATCATCTTGTTTTTTGTCGCTCACTCGTGTTGTTATGTTTTTTTCGTACAGTTTATTTTGGTACACACCAAACACTTATGTTATCTTTATTACAATTAATGTAAAATTGTTCTGTGTGGTTTATGTGACTAGAAATATTATTATTTTGTATTGTCATTGCGACTAGTCAATGATACAAGACATATTATTATTATTATTGAAATAAGGCCTCGTCTTTACCAACATTTAAACGTGAATTGTATATTATTATATTTTTCTGTTTGTGGATTTTCTTGCGCGTCATGTATGCGAACTGTGCACACCAACGTCCAGTAGTACAAACATCGACCGGTTGCAATTCCATCACCCGAGATCAGAATTGGTGCAAGACGTACCCTTGCGTAAGACCGCCAGCAACCGCCGTGGTATGTGAGAGATCCCAAATAATATTATTATTTTTAAACATAAACTTTAGTTTTCTAATAATTTTAATTTAAAATAACAACAATTAAAGTTCTTTAAAAAAAAAATAATTTGAATTTGGGTTCTTATAGTAATAAAAAATGATCAAGAGGTTTCAATATTCTAAGAATTCCAATTTCTGAGCTGGTTCTTATTATCGATACCATTCTATTCTTATCGGTACCATAAACAAATGTGTATCTTGACATAATAATAAACATAAACGGTTAATGCCAGGTGATTCTTTTATCATCAATTACTATTCTTTATGTAAACAATTATTAACGTTTTTAAAGTTTTAACAATATTTTTTACATAGTTGTAAGTAATAAAAATACAAAAAATCTGTGAGGTTTTCCATGTTCTTTTTTTTTTACTTACAAGCTGTAAGAAAAATATTTTCAAAAACATTCATAGTTTTTGAAATAATGATATAACAAATAATTACCTTATATTGCGTACTTGTATAAGACCAATATCGAATTGTATATGGTTTAAACTTAAAACAATATATTTATAGAAAACATGAAATAGCTTATAAAGCAAATATCTTATTTTTCGATAAATAATAAAAAACAGATTGAAATGTTTTAGGTATAATATAATAGTATAGGTCAGGTATATTAATAATATAATTTACTATTTACAGAGTAGAATAGTTTTGTTTGTCCAACTAGTCAAAATTCTAATTATTTTACGAGTTTCCATCATCTATAGATTTAGAATGAATTATACTTAATCTTTCTTGCATAGGTAATCCCCTCTTTGATTTTTCGTTTTCTTTTAGATAATGTTGTTGTAAGTTATCCCAGGGTTGCAATTCACCAGTTCCATACATCCCATACGCTACAGATGATACTGTCATTACTGCCATCATAATCCAAAACACAAGACGCCACTCTAACACAGTTCGCTGAAAAATTAAAAATGTAATAAAATATTAGGCATTTATTTACATCAAGTATTTGTTTACAAATTTAAGAAATAATATATAAAAACTATAGGAACCTTATATTATGTTAGACATGCAATATATTTTAACGTCAGTGGGTGGCCCCTCTAGGTAAAATGAAATATATGTATATATGTATTTATAAATTTATATTACTTTAAAAAAACGAAATTACGAACACTCGTCGATCCTCAAAGAATATGAGCTCACAATATGGTCAGTGGCGTAGACATGATTTCTGAAAGGGGAGGGATCAAAAAAAAAAAAAAAAAACGACATAGCTAATGGAAGGAAAAATTTGAAAATCCCCCACCCTCTCAAAACTTTTTACTAAGGTAATAAAAAGCCGATGGGAGATCTGACCCCCACGTCCACCCCTTGTCTACGTTACTGAATATGGTGCCTATTGGTTCTGTCGTTTCCATGTCAATGAAACCCCTCCTAATAAACATTCATTTTTAAATTTAAAGATAGATAGAATGAGACGATGATACTTAGCTAAAGTGTAAGTAATAAATAATAATTAATATCAAAAATTATCACATCAACTTACATTTGGTGTCAGAATTCCGGCGATAAAAGGAGTAGCCATTCCTGATAAACAACCAATACCGTTGACTAGTGCCATTATAGTTGGAGCGTAATTGGGTGACAAATCAAGCGAATTGACACGGATGCTGGGATAACAGAATCCCATTAGTGCCATACCCAAAGTAAAACACAGAGTTGCTATCATTTTGTCACATCCGACAAACGAAGCACACATTACACCAATACCAGGCCCGACATTTCCTGAAATCATAATACTATTTGTCAGTTACCGGCATTTTTAAGAGTGAGGTCTTCACATTAAACATCACCTATAATGGCAAAACTTTTTCTAACCGCAGTGACACTCATTATTCGTTTTGTTATCAGCCAGTCGGATAATATGCTAACTAAGATCGACGTAACCCATTGGGCGATATATGGGAAGGACGATAATAATCCGTTCTATAAAAGGAAATATTTTAAATATCACCCATTAAAAATCTCAAGTGTTGATTAAACTAACCTCACTAATAGAAAAATGTAAGACGTCATTCATATATTTGGGCAGATCGGTGATAATTGTATATGCACCCCAGTCATGACCTGCTTCAACGATAATTAGTGCCCATACTGGCCACGACGTTAATATAGTCATCCATGGCGTGGGAGCCAAGTCCTGTTATATACAATTTAAATATTAAATAATGATGCACATTTTGCCCGGGCATATTTTTTGAAAAGATTTATGATAAACGGGAGTTAATTGTAACGTCTCGCTTACCTTTTGCCTTTCGAGACTTCCGATCGACTCTTTTAAGTAGTCGCGCTCAACTTTCGATATGAACGGATGAGAACTGGGGTCGTCGTAAACAAACATGCACCAGAGCCCAAACCAAATCAACGAGGTTATGCCAAAGATGTAAAAGACGTTTGGCCAACCACCAGGTATGTATTGTATGATTAAACCACTCAAGAAATTAGAGAAAATATTACCAATTTGCACACCTGTTGAATACATAGAATTAATATTAACTTGATAAGTTGTAAATACATTAATGGAATATCATAAATGGTTGAAGTTTACTGCTCAAAAACCACTTTATTGATACAATAGATATTATAAGTATACGGTTTTTGGTTTCTATACGTTACCTGCAAATACCAGTGTGGAGAGCTTTCCCTTTTCTTTAGGCGGAGCCCACTGCGCCAAGAGTGTACAGAGAGCCGGGAACATAGTGCCCTGTATAAAAAAAAATCGTAAGTTAGTCATACATTTTATGAAAACCGTATTATGAGTCAATACTTCACCAAGTCCTTCGAAGAACCGCAGAATGGTCAGCGGCCTAGTACCCATGTACGCTACGTATGGAGTCATCAGAGTGAAGACTGCAGTAAACAGTATTCCAAACCCCATCGTGTGCTTTCCACCGAACCTCTGGGATAAGACGCCGCCGGGTAGGTGTGTGAGTATGTAGCCATAGTAGAACGACGACAGGATCTCCCCCTGCGTCTTCTCATCCCAATCGAACCGGTTTTGAAACTTGTCCTCCGTTATTTCTGTCCTGTTGGACTCAGTGTGGCTGTTCGACGATGACTGTGGCATCGGACAATATTCGTGCAGAACAGAACTCAGACTTTCATCCACCACAACCACTGGCCTGACCATTTGCGTGAGGGTTATGCCCAAGCAGGCCCGCATCACGTACGCTATCATGACGCCCATCATGCCCATCACGGCCATCACCCATCTCTGAGACACGTATCCTGACCAGGAAAAAATGTCGTCCATTAGCCATTAGTACGAAGGTCGTGATGTTGAAATACTTTTTACAAACTTAATTGCACTTATACAAATATCCATAGATAAAAAAATATTTATGCCAGGTGTATTATGTTATGTTCCATAATATGGTTGGTTAGAGTTAATGGGAGGTGCTTGTTTTATTATTATACAGGATTTGCCATAATAAATGGAGATATTTTGATGAGACGACACTTCATGATAGGTTAGGTAGATGAATAAATATCCATAATACAGTACAGATTTAAAAAAATATATATATTTTAGTAGATTATTGTTTTTAATATTTTAATTTTACCTTATTTAATATATTTAAACATAATTAAGTGACAGTGTACAAATAATAGACAACAAAGTTTAACATACCCTATCAGGTCATTTTATTTTTTTAAAACACTTTATGTGTTAATTTTGTAATTATTTAAATTAATCACATTTTAATAAAAGCTGGTAAATAAATGTCGCTCTACTGTACAGTAGGTTACAAGTGGGTCACTCTATAATGGATTGTACTAAATTTGAATTCAATGATATCATATCATTGTATATGAAAAACGATTCTGAGCGGAGACGGTTTGTCAGTCTGGATATTTTATATTGTTATTATATTTTATTATAGGCCAGCATGTTGAATTAATATTATAAGCTACAATAAAATAAATAAAATCGTTATTTTTATTTAATTTTTTTCTATGGTGATAAACAAAGCGTTAGAAATTAAAATCTCATTTTTAGCGGTTTTTTGTAATTTATCGATGGTTTTTCCCATGGCATTAAATAACTATTGACAAAAACGAAAAATGACCTCTCTAAAGTACCATATTAGAAATATTGTATACAGGATAAAAAAAAAATTAACACAATTGTAAAACCGATAGATCCTTCGCTCCACTCAGAATCTAAAATATAAAAAGGAGTATATAGTGTTATTGATAAAGTTACAGTAATAAGCTCAAACGACATGTTGTGATAAAAATAAATTATGGATTCATAATATTATATTACTAACTCAGTCAAAGCTTCAACAAATATATCTAACAAATATTATCTTGATTTTAAACTACATATCATCAATTTTCTTTCACATAAACCTTTCGATAAAAAAAACCATTATCCAAATCAATTTAATATCAACAGTTACATGGTAATTGATGACTATACTAAAATCATGCACTGTTATTATATTTTAATTTTTTCATTGTAAAATATAATGTTATGGGAAACTTTTGATTAGCGTTGAATCACCAAACACCAATTATTGTCGATAATTAATTTCTGGCCACTTATCATAATTAAATGAACAAGTTGAATGATTAAAACTGGTCGTTTTAGCTTGTATATTTAAACACGTTTTATAGTAATAAAATATTTATCAATTGTATATTTTTATTCTGTACAAACAACACAACTATCTATCCTCAGAGGCAAATCAAATAGTATACTCGTAGTTATAGTCTAAATTTATAGTTAAAATATTTTTGCATAAATCATAATTAGGACTCGGAAGTTGTTGCATTGAAAATCATGAAAATATGCATGCAAAAATGCATTAAAATATTATCAAAAATGCACGAAAATATGCACAAAAAAGTTATATGCGCTGAAATATGCGTTGAAATATGTAATTCAATTATTATTTTTATTTTAAATATCATTTAATAAATAATAATTAATAATTTAAATAATACAAAATATGTGAAGAAAAATTAGTATTTGTACGTTTTTACACTATACATAGTCAAAAGTTTCAGTTTGCAGAGTTTCTTTCGAAAAACTTTTATCCCGAGTTTTCTGGCTCTGAAAAATTAAAACAATTTTCTTTAAGTACCTATATTTACTGTTTATAGTGTTGTATATTATTTTACCTTGGAAATTTCATTGAACGATTATAGATTTTTGATATTTTCGAATTTGAACGTTTGTCGATTGGAAGTGAGTACATTTTTGTACGCTGAAAACGAACGTTCTACGTAAACATTTTTCTTGCGAAACGAAATTAAATTCAAAATGTAATGAAATTTACAACAAAAATAAAAATAAAATATTACGATCGTACGACGTGCACACGAGACTGCAAGATACGAGACTGATATGTGAGCAATATAGCTAGCAGAGTAATGACGAGCCGTGTATAGGAAATAGGAAACTATTTTTAAAAAAAAACCAGAAAGTTCTCTTCAAATATCTAATCTTTATATGATATTTATCGATAATAATTGGTTTCGATAGTGCACGGAAAACTCTTATTAACTATTATAAGAAATATTATACGTCGTACTTAAAATATATAGCATGTTATATTATGCATAAAAAAATGTTTATTGTGAAAAAATTCGTGTTTTCATTAAAACTTCAAAATATGCAATTTTTCTTTAATATATTTAAATTCGTTACAACATGAAACAAATTTCTGTCGTACTTAGCAATTTATTGGACTATTTAATAAAAATATGCAAATTCAATAAGTCCCGAGCCCTAATCATAATATAGGAAACAATACATTTAGTTGCATTACATACTTTTCGGAACAGTACTGATAACATTTCTGTAAATTCATTAGATAATTGAAATTTTTGAATGTTATGATAAATAAAACACACCATTTTATTATGCGATAGAAAACTGAACGGTTACTTACGTGAATTTAATTTCATATCGGTAGTTGATTAATGGTCACCTCCGTGTTTATTTATATGCAGGAATTAATTACTTTGAAACGAATTTTCTGAACAGTATAAAACTAGGTAAAAGTGAAATGTTTACGAAACGGAAAATGTTAGTATTGTTTCGTATACGTAATACTTTTTGAGTAATTACAACACATTTATAACAATTTAAAATTTAAAAACTATACCATTTTATAAATATACATAAATATAATATACATATATATTATATATAAGTTATTCCGTTGAATATTACAAATCCATTGACTGCTGTAACTGATTTAAATAATATTACGTCTTTAAACGAAAACTTCCGTCTGAACACTGTCAACTTGTCAGATCAAAACACACAATGATAACATAATATTAATATGTCGCTCCCGCCGAGAAAGCGGGACAGACGGACAGTGGGTGATTAAATCTTTCCCTCTTTTTATTATAATCTGATCACTGTAGTGTATAAATATTGTAGTTTACCTGAACATCATAAGTCCATTGACATTTTTCAATCCAAAACGAGGTACTCAGCATTTTTGGGCCATATTTACGAGAAATCAGTAGTTTAGTCAATATAAGGACGTTCAATTTATGCATACAAACATCCAAATAATTATAAGAACACATCTAGGATAGGTGGATACAATTAAATAGAACACTAAAATTAGTATTAAATTTCATCGGTGATATCAGAATGTCAATATATTCCAGAGTACCTATTGTGGGAAGTTTTCATAGAACCATTTAAGTTATAAACTATAACTTGACTGATTTTATTGTATTGTAATTGCAATGGCATCATAATAGTATAATACCAAAAATTAAATTGTATAATAAAATAATTACAAGGCGATAAAAAAAAACAATTAATTGATTACATTAGCACATTTATTACTAACATTAATTAGTTTATTTATTATTTTATATAATTAGTTACATCATTTATTAATTTTATTCGATGATTAGGAAACCTTCTACTATTTTATATTCTGAGTGGAACGATGAATGTATTGATTTTACAATGATGTGTGTTTTTTTATTTTATTTTTATTTTTGTGTCTGTCATCACCTTTTAGGACAGTAAAAGTGCTTGGATTTTCTTCAACAGTATCTTTTCTGATAAGAATGTGAATCCAGTTGGTACTTTGGTGGCTCAAAATTTAAAATTCCCCGTAGTTTTCAAAAGCGCAGTGAAAACCAAAGAAAAATTAAGGAAAAACGGGAATTTTTAAACAAAATCTGATTGAAAAAATCGATTTTGGTTATTGGTGCAACTCTTAAACAAATGACCTCAGGTGCATGAAATGTTGACTGAATGTTTATATTAATATTTTCTATACACCATAACATTTTCCAAATATTTTGAGCTCTTTACGGACATTTTTAGTTTCCATTTTTTTTTAGTTTTTTTTCTAAATATATCAATTAAATTTTATTCGTTGGTTAAAAAAGCTTGAAAATTTAATAAGAGGCTCCTAGTATCTATATTATTTTAAAGGCAGTTGAAAAATATTAAAAATCCTTAGTCACACTTTTTTTTATAAGCATTTGAAGTTCAAAAATTGAAATGGAAAAATCACGAAAATTATCAAATCATTTTGAGTTAAGAATTCGTAAAAACTTTTATTTATAAATCTGTTACCAAAAAATCTAAAAAATACATAGACACAGTTTATTTGTATGGTCATTTTAAGTTCAAATTTGGTCGAAATTACATAATAGAAAACCTAGAATAACTATTTTAGTTATTTTGTTGTGATTGTATAATATAATTCGTGGGTACTTGAAACTTCTAAAGTACACTATATATCTATGATAGTGTTGTTGATGTATAAAGCGTTTATAAGTACCTCATGGATATTATGATATGATTAATTTGGAATTTATTACAGGTAAATTTTTTTTAATACCATAGATAAGTATATAATTTGTCTTATACCTAGACTGACATACTGTCTCCGCTCAGAATCGTTTTTCTTATACAATGATAATATAATATCATTGAATTAAAATTTGATACCATCTATTATACAGTGACCCACTTATAACCTACTGTATAGCAGAGCACCTTTTTTTAAGTTTCAATCTGAACATATTTTAAGTTGTCAGAAATGGCTGCTTTACTCATGAAAAACATGCATAGTTAAGTGGATGGGTGTTCTCTGAATGTTCTTTGCGATTCCATATCTAAAAAATAAGTTTTATTTGACTAAAAAGTAAAATGTTATACAATTTAGGTAGTAGTTATTTTATTTTGCAACTAGAAATCAATGACAAGAGACAACGATTGAACCTCCAAAACTAAATAATAACAAAACGGATTTT